TACTTCTTGTTCATAACATGTTTTTTTATTTTCACTCTCTGTTAATTCTACTGTTTCTTTAAATACAATTTTATCTCCTGGTGACTCACAGTCTGATTGTTGTTTTTCTGTTACAGAAAATTCTACTGCTTCTGTATGCTCTTCTATTAACTCACTGATAGGTTTTTGTTGCTCAGGTACGGGGTTATATTGTGTTTCAGAAGATTCTTGAGTTTCTGCTTCATTATCATGTTCATATTTTTGCTTAGTGTAGGGCATTTCATTTTCGCTTTGTTCATCTATAACACACTCTACTTTTTGTTCATAACATGTTTTTTGTTTTTTGCTTTCTGTTAATTCTACTGTTTCTGTAAATACAATTTTATCTCCTGGTGACTCACAGTCTGATTGTTGTTTCTCTGTAACAGAAAATTCTACTGCTTCTGTATCCATAATACACTCTTCTATTGACTCACTGATAGTTTCTTGTTGCTCAAGTACGGAGGTGTATGGTATTTCAGAAGATTCTTGAGTTTCTGCTTCATTATCATGTTCATCTTTTTGCTTAATGTAGGGTATTTCATTTTCACTTTGTGCATATATAACACACTCTACTTCTTGTTCATAACATGTTTTTTTATTTTCACTCTCTGTTAATTCTACTGTTTCTTTAAATACAATTTTATCTCCTGGTGACTCACAGTCTGATTGTTGTTTTTCTGTTACAGAAAATTCTACTGCTTCTGTATGCTCTTCTATTAACTCACTGATAGGTTTTTGTTGCTCAGGTACGGGGTTATATTGTATTTCAGAAGATTCTTGAGTTTCTGCTTCATTATCATGTTCATATTTTTGCTTAGTGTAGGGTATTTCATTTTCGCTTTGTTCATCTATAACACACTCTACTTTTTGTTCATAACATGTTTTTTGTTTTTTGCTTTCTGTTAATTCTACTGTTTCTGTAAATACAATTTTATCTCCTTGTGAATCACAGTCTGATTGTTGTTTCTCTGTTACAGAAAATTCTACTGCTTCTGTATCCATAATACACTCTCCTATTGACTCAGTGATAGTTCTTGCGCTCAGGTACGGGCTTGTGTATGGTATCAGAAGATTCTTGATTTTTCCTTCATTATCATGTCTTTTGCTTAATGTTGATATTTCATTTTCTACTGTGCATCTATAAACACACCTACTTCTTGTTATAACATGTTTTGTTTTTCGCTTTCTGTTTTTACTGTTTCTGTAATATAATTTATCTACCTGGTGACCTCACATCTGATTGTTGTTTTCTGTTACAGAAATTCTACTGCTCTGTATCCATAATACCTCTTCTATTGACTGATGATAGGTTCTTGTTCTCCAGGTACGGGGTTATTTGTGTTTCAGAAGATTCTTGAGTTTCTGCTTCATTATCATGTTCATCTTTTGCTTAATGTAGGATATTTCATTTTCACTTTGTGCATTCTAACACACTCACTCTTTTTCATCAACATGTTTTTGTTTTCGCTTTGTTAATTCTACTGTTTCTGTAACTAAATTTTATCTCTGGTGACACCAGTCTGATTGTGTGTTTTTCTCTGTACAGGAAATTTATATGCTTCCTGCTATCCATAATAACACCCTTCTATTGACTACTGTATGTTTCTTTGTTCAGGTACGGAGGTGTATGGTATCAAGTATGATTCTTGGTTCTGCTTCATTATCATGTTCATCTTTTTGCTCAACGTAGGCTTTTCCTTTTCAAAACTTTTGCTTCTATAACACACTCTACTCTGTTCATAACATGTTTTTTGTTTTTCGCTTTCTGTAAGTTCTACTGTTTCTGTAAATACAATTTTATCTCCTGTGCTCACAGTCTGAGTGTTCTTTCCTAGTTACGGAAGTGTATCGACGTTCTTCTGAAGATTTCTGAAACCTCTTTCTCATGGCCAACAATTTATCTTTTTTGATGCTGTGAAAGTTGATCGCTTTTCGCATTTATATTTATAGATACTTTCTTAACTTCTGGGTTCAAGTTACAGGAATATGTTTTCCATTATCTGTTACAGAGATTTGATTTCTTGCTTCATTCTCACCTTCATATTTTTGCCTCAATGTAGCGTATTTGATTTTCACTTTGTGTATCTATAACACACTCTCGTCTGCTTTTTCGCATTTCTGTTAATTCAACTGCTTCTGTAACTATAATGTTATCTCTTGGTAACTCACGTCTGATTGTTGTTTCTCTGTTACAAGAAAATTCTACCCCCTCGCCTCCCTGTCCTCACACTAACACACTCTCCCTTGGACTCACGATAGGTTCTTGCTTCGCAGGTACAGGGGTGTATGGTATTTCAGAAGATTTTGAGCTCATTATTATTTCATATTTTTGCTCTGTGTAGGCGTATTTCATTTTCACTTTGTGTATCTATTAACATACTCCTACTTCTGGTTCATAAGAAAATTTTTTTGTTTTTCGCTTTCCTGTTATTCTACTGCTTGTGCATGCTCATAATTATCTCCTGGTGACTCACAGTCTGAGTTGTTTTTTCTCAGTTACGGAAATGTGTTTGGACTGTTGTGGAAGACTCTGGTAAATTTCTTTCTCAATTGCACACTTTCCTTCTGACGGTGCAAAGGAGACGGTTTTCAAATTCTGGTATCCTATAAACTTTCTACTTCTGGTTCAGTAATGGATTTTGTTTTCCATTATCTGTCTACAGATAGTTGCCACTGCTTCTAATATCCATAATACTTTCTTCTTTTGACCACTGATAGGTTCTTGCTTCGTCTGGTACAGATGTATGGTAATTTCAGAAGATTCTTGAGTTTTCTGCTTAATTATC